TACATCCTCTACAGACTGCACGCACGAGCCCCTGCAGTCTGAGCTTCGAAGGCCACAAAGGTCTTATACGGCGAATGCAAACTGGTACGAAACTAATCCTGAACACGGTGCTGGGGAAGAGGCGGGATGGCTGAGACTGCTCTGCTCAGATCCCAATCTCTTCTCTTACCCGCCCAGGGCTGGCAGGTGCTCCGGTCTCACTTTGCTGATCTGGAGGTGACAAAGAAAATGGCAATGCTAAGATGGCCTTAGGAGTGAGCTCGGCATTGAACTTCAGATAAGGAGAGAACAGAACGCTTCTGGAAACAGGGATGATAGAGCGAGCTCTTCGGGAGCCGGGATATTTTTTTTTAAGTCGCAAAATAAAGAACAGCAAAATAGCACGCAGAGGGGATACTCTTCTCTTTACACACACCAGCGATATGCTCCCTTACCAGTGGGCATCACACAAATGCAAGCACTATAATACCATAGATCTGCACTTATCTGAACTCTGAGAAACTGCCCCCCACTCCCCATTCATACATGCGATTTATGCACAAAAAAATCTATAACATAAAATGACACACAAAAGAAGGTTTAAAACCCACATAAAAGTTTCCAGAAATACTGTAATAAAAACCTAACATAAATAAACTGTACATACAGAGGGATGTAGTTGCATTTCAAATGGCCAGAATGGGAATTCAAATTATCTGAATGGTCACAGAAAGAGAGTTCAGATAGGCCAGAGTCTGTAATTTCATTTTGAAATGCTTGTCACGTGGACATCTAGCAATGGCATATCTGCCTAATTAAGAACACGTAAGGGGTAAACCAACAGTATCTTCACAAAGCATCTTCCATCCCACCATTTGAAAGTGTCCTGAATATCTCAAGAGACTGATAACAAACTTCAAAACAAGGGGAGATGATAAACCTCAAGATAGATTTGGGCTTAGGTTTGGATTTTAGCATCAGAATTCAGCAATTCCCCATACACGAATGAGTAAGCTTAATACAGATACGTTGCACGATGTTGTGAACTAACAGATCTCTTATCTTCTCCATGTGCACTTGGGATGTATCCCCAGGTACTTTCAGCGTAACGCATTCATCTAGAATTAAAAAGACCATATATATCCAAGAGCTACAAGTTAATGTTGATACTCAGCCATAACCAAAACTATTACTATAGCTTTTTCAGGACACAAGTGACCCAAAACCCAAGGCTCTGATTAGCTGACTTTCAAGCCTCACCTAAGCAGTGAAGAGACTTAAACAAATGCACCTTGGGTGCAAGAGGGAGGATGTTCAGAGCATCGAACCTTGCAGTTGCCAATGCCCAGAAAATGGCAGGGAAGAGAGATGAGCCATAGGCCTGCCTCTTCTTCAGTGAATGTGAACGAACACAACACACTGCTATTGCACCATTGATATTAATAGCAGGCTGGGCTTGAGGAGTGAAGTGATGGAGAAAGGACAGCAGCATGCACCTTACTTTATAAGGTCCTCCCTGCCATATTGGTCATGGGGCATAACAAGGATCAGGAGTGCTCCAAGTGCTTTGAGGCATCGCTATTGGTTATCACTGATAAAGGAACAAATGCAGAAGTCCGTCTTTTTTTCTTAGGTATCATATTAGGATGAAATCCTCGTACAGTGAAAGAACTGGGATGTTGTCAAGCCACCATAGGATGAGCTACAGTACAAACAGTATCTTCAAGGACTCGTTCAAAGGCCCGTTGCGGTCACCAGACTCCTTGGGATTGCAGTGGACTTTGAGTTGGGCCCCAAGTCCTTGCTACTTTGGGACTCGCATCACCTCCTGCCAACAATTAAGCCACTTTGATTTCTCATTCCATTTAGCTGATAGAAAGTCACATCACTATACGCATCATTGAAGGATCCTCCGCATGAACTGGATAACCATGTCCCCCAACACAAATGGCCTCAAAGTTTAGCCTTAGTGAATGTAGGACACTCATTAACTCAAGAAAGAGGGTGCGCCTCCTCTACTATCTCATCATGCCATGTAGGATCCAGGATAATCCACTGACTGGATAATTGGACGTCAACAAAACCGTTATTATAATCAAACTACACATCCTAAACGTATCAGGACCCAACACAGTTACAAAATTCTATTTAAAGCAAGGATTTCATTGAGTTATGTATCGTGCACGTATAACACTGCTACAGTGCTCATTTTTAATCAAATTCATTGGTTTTATCACCTCTTTAACCCAGCTTGACAAAACAAGAAATGGTTACAAGCAGTTTAACATATCCTTCTGCACATGCTGGGCTAAATTTCTCTTTCGTCCATGTTTAAAAGTCTTTAAAACCAAAAGCTACCCCACTGATTTTAATGCAAAGACTTGGTAGATAGTTATGGGTACTGAAAGAAATGTTTGGTTTGGGGCAGTTTAGTATTAGTCCTAAATAATGTTGCAAAGTAAGAATCATTCCAATTGTTCCCTTTTCCATTTTGGCTGCTATGAGAGGAGACATAAAAGGATTCCAAAACAAATTCACCATCCGAACATATCACATAAGCCGGTCTTCTTTGCTGGTATCTTTGCTTTCAGCACTCATTGACTGGTTGGCAAGTTGCACGGCATTTCTTCAAATCGGATGCACGTCATTCAAATTGTTGCAGGTCATCATCTCAGAAGTACAGGCAGTTTCTACATTCCCAGCTACCGGATGAAAGAGATGCTGGCCAGTCAAGTAACAAGAGAATAACAATGAGCCCAGAACCTGCCCAACAAACTTCATGTGACTTTTTAGGTTTTTAAAAAGTATTGATGTCCCAGGTTTTCTGAGCCCTGCAGGTTGGTGAAGGTCAAGCCCCTTTAGTGACAAACGAAAGGCACACGAGGTTGATGGGTCCTATGGGGCATATTCTCAACTCAAGCCCTCTCCGTGGCTCTGAGATGCGGAGCAGCGTTCGCTAAATACTGGAACTGAGATTAAGACAATGGAATTATTTATTTAAAATAAACCAGTTCTTTTACAAAGTTGGTTGCCATTAATGGAAAGCCCCAAAAAGTATTTGTTTCTTGCCCGGCTCAGAGCATTATATAGCGTAGCAATTTCTGGTGCTCGTTTCCAACTTCAGACAAGGCCCTCTGCATCCCTAAAGCTCGTGAGAGCAGCCTGGACTCACAACGGCTGCAAACAGATGTCATCTTTGTGCTCCATACAAAATGTTATGGTGGCCCAAAAGCCAAGCAAATGGACCAAATGAACCAACACGTGGTGGAAATCAGAAGAGGTTTAATTAGACCCGATGATAACCACCCCTTAGTTACAACATTAACTTGCCTTGTCCCAAATGAGGTTTCTACAACTAAGTGGAGATGTGGAATAGGGGAGGTAGTTTTGGGTGGCGACAGACCACAGATAAAGGGAAGCCAAGATAAAGATGAAGCAAAGGACAGCAGATATTAGCAAATGATGCTGCCCTTGGTGATGTATTTTCAGGACAATGCAGTAGGTCCTTGTTATGGTACAAAAGGCTCCTGTGAAGTCTCAATTAAGATGTGAAGATGGAACAAATATAAAGTGAAGAGTCAGGGAAGTGTGCTGCGATTCAGCTGGATGCGCTAGAGAAGATGTCAAAGCAATTTGAGGAGAGAGAGACATACTGCAGAACAGCAAAAGATAAAGACAGGAATGGAAATTAAAAACGATGAGATGTAAAAGCGATATCGTGGTTGATGGAGCCTGAATTCAGCTTTATCAAAGCAGCACCCAAAACCAATCTGGCTTGGTGTGTCAGACAGCCTGCCTGGCAGGTAAAGTTCCCCAGACTTCCCCAGATAATACATCCGTTAGGTTATATTCACTCAAAAGACCATGTAGATGGCCCCGTATTGAAGGTGGCACTGTCATACGGCTGGAATATACACCTGGCCCGAGGTTGCCTATTTTTGCAGTATCTTCTGCATACAGAATACCCACTGGAGGGGGAGGAAGAGGAGGGGAGGCAATTTCCTTGTCCAAGCACACGTGAAAAGATATCATCCCTGCTGTGTTGTGAGACGTGGCAGTCATTAACATGCAAATTCCCTTTCCTGGCTTTGTAACCAACAAGCAGGATTATTAATCTCGGGGACAGTCTCCAGAAAGCGGGGGCCAGGAACCATTTCATTCTAAGGCTTTTCTATACGTTATTGTGCACTCACGTGTGCACGCACAAAGAGGTTTTCTAGTTCCTTGATGACAGCACTCAGGGACTCTGAGGTTTAGCAGCCTTCCAAAGCTTTCTTTCCAGTAGCAGAGAAAGAGGCCACATTTAAGGCAGGATCCAAAGCCTGTTTCACAAACAAGAACCCTTCAACGTGTTCCCTAATAACCCAAGACCTCCGCTCACCAGGGCATATCGCTCCAAGGCATTGCACGCTGCAGTGGTCTACATCTATTTGCTACAGGCATTCATTCACCCGATGCAGAAGTCCTTGCACCAATCGTATCTTATTAGGGAGAACTAAATATTGCAGAAAAGTGGAAAAAGGCTTCTGCACGCAGGGGGAGGGAATTCTACCTCTGCGGAGTTAGACGCACGAGGCACTTTAAGGGCAACGCTGGTAAAGCTGGGCAACGAGTACCAGGTGCTTCTGCATTTTATTGAACGTCACGTAATGCACTAGTAACGCTAGGCTCTAAACTGAAGATTGGCTTCTTGGCAAGGGAGCGGCGGAGCTGTGTTGTCATTTATTTACCCAGGAATGCAGCAGCTGTTCCTCATGCTAGGTTTCCAAATTATGCTCAGCTTGACTGATGCACATGGAGAATGAATGATTTGCCCAAAGGTTCGTAGCCAGTCAAAGAACCGGTTTACGCGATAACGCTGAGCTCCCCTGGCTTGCCTTTCTGCACTTCACCGTTGAGTTTGCACTGCTGTCATGTTTACTGGCTCCTTCTCAAGACCATGGCATACACGGTCGCGCACTTCTGCTGAAAGGCTAAAATTCTCTCCGGCAATCAGGACTCGTAGTAGAGATGGTATCTTTTATTAGACCAACAAGAGTTTTGCAAAAAAAAATTCTCTGTACATTTATATCTACAACAGTTTTCCAATATATAGAGACAGATAAAGTTATAAAAGGTGGGGGAGAGGGGTGAAAAAGAGATAGGTGTGTTGTCTTGCCTAGTATTTCTAGATGATGTTGAGATGGTTATTCCCATAGCTCCTTTCCTTTGATATCCTCTGAAGATTTGCCATGGCATCACTTCTGCTCCTGTCAAATCCACAGGTGCTGATTTTTTGGGATGTAAGCAATGTCTCACCTCACCGCATCCTTAAAATCCCAGCCACATGAGGACTTTTTGCACAGGCAACCAGAGATCAGTGAGGTGTATGTGAGCAGTCACATCGTAAGTGCGATGTTCGCCAAATGGTTCAAGTTTCTGCAAAATCAGGACCTTAGCTCAAACCAGCCTGTTTCTGAAGTGCTGAGACGTGGATGCATTGGGCCCGAAAAGGACCCGTTGGACAGAAAGTGCCAAGCATCTCTGTTCTGAAAACTGAACCATCCTATAAGAGTTAAAAATCAGGTACCAGGCTCACGTACAGACATTCAAAAAGCCCGAGGCAGAATCAATCTAAATTGCACAATTTTCTGTAAGTGGTACAGTTTAGCTTGGTAGCAAATACAGCATACATTTGCCCTTTTTATTGTTGGGGGGGCGGCAAAGCTTAGACCAGGTTCTGCCATTTTTAAACCAGTCTGTGTGCTGAACTTTTGTTCTGTTACGGGTATGATCAGGTTTTGTGAGCTGAACTTCTGTCCTGTTCCGAGTACAGCCTGGTTTCCGATCGCTTATACTGGTAAAAGCGTAGCGTCTGTACCTGGCCTCAAAGACCTGCCATCACATTAAAAATGCATAGGCCTGCATTTTCAAAAGGTTCATATCTGTTTTATTTTTAACCAGCTTATTAAACATTTGTACTGCAGCAACTGGCTCCTTCCCCAGCCAAAAGCTCGTTCCCTAAAAACAATATTATGCAGAGACGGATGTAGGGTATGCATCAGTATTTGCTGAATTTGGATGCATAGTTCCCTCTGAGAGGAGCATTGGAATAAAGCTGGTTCAGCAACATTCAGATACCGGTGTGTTGTTTGACTACTTTAATCTTCCTAGATTTTGCACTGTTCCTCTGGAGCTGGTTTATAAGTAGGGTATAAAAGCTCATTGGAATCCAAACTAATTTATGGCCTCTAAAGGGAAAAATTGACATTTTCTAGATCACACACCACCCCCATAAATCAATTTTCATTCTGCACCTATGGTTCAAGCTGCTTCCAGCCTTTGTAAATAAATGCCAAGTGTAATGAGTTTTGAAACAACCAGCCTGAAAGAAACAAAGAAAATGACAGTCATTGAAAAATCATTGTACTTTCAGGCAAACCCCCGTGCAGTTTAAAATGATTACAAAGACCCAAATGACATGGCAAAGACAACTAAGGATTTGACCAAAATCAACTTTTTCCCCCTGCCTTTTGGTTTATTTTCTTTCCTCCCTCAAATAATATAGCATAAGGTATATAAGACCTTCCTCGTTAGCAATCCCTTTGCAGGAACCCATTGCTTGTAGGAATATGATGAGCCTTTCAGCATATGCGGAGGGAATTTCTAATGTAGCTAATGATCCTATGAACGATTTAACCTAGAGATCCTCTTGAAAAGGGAAAGGAAAAAAAAAGCCAACTTTGTGTCAGGGTGCTTTTCAAAAACGGAGAGAGAATTAGGCAGCTGCAAAGATCAGACAACAGGGCAGCCCGAAACCTATAATGCAGCCACTCTCGAGCCCATTGCGGGGTCAATTATCAAATTGGAAACTGTAATTTCCCAGGAGGATAAGTGTTTCCTCCATTATTATTTTTATTTTCTAAACTGAAAGGCTTTTATTATGGCACTTAGATGATTCCCAGTTTGAGGATTTCCTACAGCGAGAGTAACAAAGCAGACTCATTCATCCCCACCGAGGCCTGGCGGTTGGGAATCACCAGCGACAAGCGCACTTGTCAAAGCTTCCCTTGTACACCTATTATCACCTGCTTGCATGCTAATCACCTCCCATCTTTTAAGCAAACGAGGGGACTTCGGTGCCCTGAACCCGCAAGCTGTTCTGCATGGGGGGTCCCAGCATGGCGCTGCCCGTGGGATTAAGGCTGCCCCCTGAATTTGCTCTTGGGAGATCCCACCCTTTCCCCAATTATCAGCCCCCGGCAAAGGTGACTCCTATGAATTACCATCATTCGGAAGCACAAATTTCGAGCCTGAGCCAACACTCTGTTCCCAAGTGCATCGATCTTCTTAAGTGAAACAGCTACTGGAAGGAGACAAAGACACATTTGGACAGAGAGCTCTGTTTTGTTTCCGGAGACGTTCAGACAGTTAATAGCATGAACAGCTGTAGAGCATATGCTATCGTCAGAGAAACCCTTCTCGCCCCACTCTGGACAGGCATATGAGGAACTCGGGAGAAGCCCTAATTCAGCTCCAAACTCTGCAGCTCAGGTTGATCGTGGAGGTTTATGAATGACGTTGAAATAACCTGTCGGTCACAAATATTTCTATCTTAATAGGAAGCCCGGCTCTGCAAATGGACCGTAGCCCATAGACTGATGCCGATAGCTGCCCGGTTCTCGTGCCGAAGCTTTACTAAGTTACCGAACTCCCTTAGCAAGGGCGGAGGAAGCCAAGCCCCTAAGATCCACCGGAAATTCAGGTCACTCAACAGAAAAGTCATCAGGGAAACACAAGTTCTGCTTTTCCTTCAGTAGATACGGACAGGTTTGCAACACAACAGTAAGAGGCTTGGGGACTGAAATGATGAATGTAATCACATTCATGGTCTTAAATCCATTGGTACTAGAAGACTAAGAGAAATCTTCAATTCAGGCCTCTTTGCTGAATAATGTACAAACTACAGTGCAAAGCGATGAATAAAGCAGAAGACACACAAAAAACGCCCCCAAACTGCTGTGTTTATTAAGAGAACTAGCAAGTTTAACCCCCGAAAAATACAGCTTTTGGGTTTCCTCTCCTTTAGAGCTCTGGCGTCTTGACTTTATTGTAGAAAGTTAAGTTTTGACTTGTCTTTTCACAGGACTCGCTGCCCTTTGTTTGACTTTTGATACTCTCTCCGCTCAAATAGAAATGTATTAACACTGCCACTGAACGAAATGTGAAAGAGGGATAGTGACATTTTCAATATAAACCGGGAAAGGAGCTAGATTAGTGTTTTCACTCTCTGAACCAGAAGCGATGCTTTCTGACATTTCATTCTTAACAAGAGGAGAAGATGTCTTGAAAAACTTTTAGCGGGAACTAGTGGGACGGAGAAATTACCACACTGCTAGTTATACAACCCAGAAAGCAACGGCCTCGTCCCAAACAATCGTTCCTCAGATCCATTCCAGAAAGGATGCAAAAAGAGGCACTTTGAGGCAATCAGCAAGCAAGCAATTCCTTGCAAGCAATTCCTCGCTGCCATTGCTCTGATATGTGTGCTGGGTCTCAAATGAAGATTGCAACAAGGCTGCTTCTCTAGTAATTTAAAATAGCAACTTCTTATGTCATCGATGCCTTCTCATAGTCTACTCTTTAATAGCACTTTAATAGCACTAGCCTAATCGTTCCTAACTTGTGGGAGCAAACCATGCAACTCGGAGCTGCTTTTTTTTTTGGCAATATTTGCAATCAGGCTCTTAAGTAAGTTTTTAATTGTTAATATTGAAGTATTCATCTTAACCTGGATGCTCTCAGCACTGTGCATCAGATGAGGCAGTTACTACCCCAAGGATGCACATAGGCAAGCCAAAAGAACAAGAGGAAGGATGGTCTAAGAGCATAACACCTTAACCTGTGACCTAGAAATCCAACATGTGCTCTGTCACACACACATCCAATGTAACTTGGACAAGCCAGCTGGCCCCTATGACAAGTTGGCTTTGACAAGAAAAAATCTTACATTCCTGATAGTGTAGGAAGCCACACCTGAGAAAAATGATCTTGGGGATAACCAAAGCTGGGGCTGACTTCTGGGCTAAGTACAGACAGTCAAAAAGGCCAAGGCTGAATTGATTCAGTCTTTGAAGGTTACTTTGAGCTGCGCAGATTGAACCGACAAGCAAGTGAACTGACATTCACTTTTGATTCTGGAAATGCAGCCACATGCCTGCAGTGGCCCAGGCCAGAAGCTGGGGGGCGCTAGAGCATGCCTCCCTGCTGGGCTGAAGCAAACAGCTTGGGCCATAGCCCCTGCAAAGGGGGGGCGAGGGTTTGTCGGGGAGGTGCTAAGCATCCTGGGATGCTGGGGGACTGTGAGTTAACTTGAATCTGGAGGGGATCTGGGACAGAAGTTCAATAAACTGATTTAACCTAAATCAGTTAAATCTGACACTGTATCCATCCACGTTTATCTTAAACTGGTTTTGGCCATTTTGAAAGTGGTTTATGTGCACTGACTGTCTGCTGTGTTATGGATTTGAACTGGTTTCTCATCACTTATACCGATTTAAGTGCAACTTCTGTCCCTAGCTCTAGACTCTGCCCCAGACTTCATGCATGGTGGTAGACGAATAGCTAAATCTCGCTGGGCCTTACTCTGTCATTTTGAACATTGTGATTTATGTACCTACAGTGGTGACACGTAGGGGGAGCACATGCAACCCCCGAGAGCGCCGGTGCACCCCCTGACAGGCTGCGCTCTCCGCTTAGGCGATGGGCAGGAGGGGCAGGCGGGAGTGCCGGTGCCCACCCTGCAAATGCCAGCCGGGGAGTGGGAGTGCCGGATGTAGTGCCACGTCCACTTCTGGGATCGCCGCGGCTGCTTCCCAGTGGTGCAATCGGCTGCGGGGGAATCCCCCCTCCCCCCAGGTCAGTACAATCAGCCGTGGTGGGAACCCCCAAGTCGCCGACTGCTCGCTGGTGGGGCACGTGCTCCCCCAACTAAGGAAGTACCAGTCGCCCATGTGTACCTATAAATATATCTAACAGTACTCAGAAATATTACATAACAGAAACATCAACAACTCTCATCTCTTCGGCGTGGGGAATGTTCTTCCTTCTGGGTATAGATAAAGCTTGTAACATGCTTTAGGATATTTCTGGCTGACAGGAGCTAGACGCGTGGTAATTCATTTTTATTATTATAAATTAAGACCTGTCTTGAAAAAAGGGGGAGGGAGGGAGGGGCTCTGCTGACAGAAATCAATAGCTAAGTAAATGTTAGGGCCGGAAGTTATTTTGCTCAAAGAAAGCAGTAAAATCATATTTGAATAAACTAACAAGGATTCTCAAGTACCGATGAAAGCAGTGCCCAAGGGAGATGTCATACATACACAAACTTCAAAAATGAAGGAAATCAAACAACTGCAGCTGAGAAGCGCCTCCACCTTTCCCAGGATTCAGAGCTGTGTTATAGGTAAGGGGCACTGTCAGTCTCGGCGGTCCTTGTAACGTGTGGCTTTTGAAGATCTTTTTGCTTGTACCTGGGATTACAACACATTATTTGCTTGCATTTATGTGGCATCCAAAAAGCACCGGTGCTTCACAGGAAGGAGAAGAATAAAGCATGTACACAAAGCACTGGACTTGGTTCCCAAGTAAGGGAGGATGTTAGGGTTAGGGTTGGGGTTGGCCACTGAGGGTGAAGCCATTGCTTAGGAAGGATTTGGGGAAGGAGTTTGAAAGAGCAAGATGTGTAGGAGGCGAAGGAGGGTGTTTGGTGGGCGAGAGGTGGAAGCCTATTCCAAAGCTAAGGGGAAGGATGAGAAAGAGCAAAGCCACAAGCAGAATAAGATGAAGGGGTAAGTAATAAGGGAGGGGTTTGTGCGCCAGAGTAAGCTACTGATGAGCGATGGGGGCAAGAAGGGTGGTTGGGAGCAGCCCGAAGACATCTAAGAGTCAAGGTGTGGTGCTACGACCTGAGAAGAGATGGATGATCCCTCATGAGACTTATCCACCAGAGGGGACATCACCGAGCAGTGCAGATGAATCTGTCACAGTTCACAGGATATCACTAATCTCCCTTACAATTTACACCCCAGATTGGCATTGCTTCAACAGCACCCACGTAATATCCTGGCTTGTCTTTGCCATGGAGCCTGAACTCTGAGAACCCATCCATCTTCAATTATCTATTCTGGCACTCACCGAGGACCCACTTCCCCGGATTCACTGCCCACATATGCCCATTACCTTGGCTGTATTAAATGCCTATACCGCTTATTTTTCTAGAATAAAAGCCCCATAAAAAGTATTTGACTTTTGAGCCAGTGCGTCTCAAAACCTTGTGTAACTGATCCTCTGACACACTAAATAAACTGACACATGAAAGCAATTTAAATTTATTTAGCAGAAATGCAAATTCAGCCCCAAGGCTATTCTCCAGTACACAGCCTGTAAGGCCCCCGACCGACGCCAGCTTCCTAAGGTGGCTTATTCTGAGAGCACGGATCACCCAAATGATGGGGTCCCCTACACTAAGGTTGGGGACTTTGGCTAAACTTCAAAACAAACATCAAAAAGAAAAGGAAAGGGGAGGGGGAAAGCAGAAACGCTCATCTTGGGTTTTCTTGATTGTTGCTGTTGTTTTAACAATTAAAATCAAGATACATGAAACAGTTTTCCTGTGTGGTAAAGGTCAACAGACGCTGCCAAGTCTCATTTTGTCCTGATCACTAAGTGAACCAAGAGTTTGGCTCAGCTCTGCTCGGGCTGGTTGTTCAAAAAGAGTGATCAAAAGCGGGCTCCGTAGAGGCTTGGGGCTGGAATAGAGATGGGGCTCTAAAGCAGGAGCCAGATGACTTAGTAAAGTATTTCCATGGCACCTGCCTCTTCTACAAAGGTAGCCAATGCTCCTTCCCTCAATGTTGACACCAGCACTGAAAAATACCCTCCGCTGTTTTCCCCTTTAACGTTGCACATAGGAAGCAGGTAACATTTGCTCACGCAGATTTAACAGTAGACAATTCATAGATTCATAGATGTTAGGGTCGGAAGGGAACTCAATAGATCATCAAGTCTGACCCCCTGCATAGGCAGAAAAGAGTGCTGGGTCTAGATGACCCCAGATAGATGCCTATCCAACCTCCTCTTGAAGACCCCCAGGGTAGGGGAGAGCACCACCTCCCTTGGAAACCTATTCCAGACTTCGGCCACTCTAACTGTGAAGAAGTTCTTCCTAATGTCCAGTCTAAATCTGTTCTCTGCTAGCTTGTGGCCATTATTTCTTGTAACCCCCGGGGGCACCTTGGTGAGTAAAGCCTCACCAATTCCCTTCTGTGCCCCCGTGATGAACTTATAGGCAGCCACAAGGTCGCC